TTGGCCATTAGTCTGTTTTCTTTTGCAAAGTTTCTGTTCATATCCTTTGCCCACTTTTTGATAGGGCTGTTTGATTTTTTCTTGCTGATTTTTCTGAGTTCTAAATAGATTCTAGTTATCAACCCTCTGTCGGATTTGTAGCACACGAAAATTTTCTCCCATTCTGTGGGTTGCCTGTTTGCTCTTGTGACAGTTTCTTTTGCTGTGCAGAAGCTTTTTTCTTTTTAAATTTCTTGATCATAATTTCATATCACTATTTAAAGAACTGTCTGCAATTACTTATCCATGACTTTTCTTATCACTTATTGCTGGGTGCATTCATTTATGTTTTTAATTTCTTTTATTTGACAAGATTAGCTACTAGTTTAGCTTGATGAGTTTTTTAAAAAAACAACATTTGGAATTTTAAAAGTTAATGCTACTTTTATTTGCTCTCTGATTCATTAAAACTTGTTTTTCTTTCTATTAATTCACTTCTGATTTCCTAAAATTAGCTTTCTTTTTTGCCCCTAACTTCTTGAGTTGAATCTTAATTAATTTTTATTTTTTGTGATTTATTAATATAAGTATTTTAGGTTACAGGTTTTCCACTGCGTGCACCTGTAGCTGTATCATATAATTAATGAGTTGGTGCTTTGTTAATATAGAGACAGAGTTCTTCTTATGTTGTGTAGTTATGGTGAATTGATCTTTTTTCTACAGTTGAATGGATTTTGTTCTGAATCAAACTTTTCTGACACTAATATCATAACTACTGCTTTATTTAGTGTCTGTTCTCGTGTTTTTACCCTTTTTAAATCAGTTTTAGGTGCATCACTTGTATTCAGCATAGAATTGGGATCTAGTTTTTTAAAGGAATTTGATTGGATTGTTTTTTTGAGATGAGAGATATATTTTGCCTTTATGTACTGTTATGTTGTCATATTATGTGCATATAATATGTGTTGTCATATTATGTGTTATGTTAAAGAAATTTCATTGTATAATTTTGGGGGGGCTTTGCATGTCTATAGGAATATGTAGATGTACTTGTATGTCTGCTAATTTCCTTCTAAATTTAGAAAGTTTTGTATTATTTTAGTAACTGTATTTTACATTAATTAGCATTAAGCTCAACTGCATCTAGAAGAAAACCAAATAATGGTGGCTAAAGAAAGACAATATTTACTTTTTTTCTCATTAAAATAGGTTGAATAGGTAAACAATTTAAGGCTGTTTTAGTGGCTCTGTGGTCACCAAGAAACATCCAGAATAGGTTTTCTGCAGTAATTATCAAATCCTGCTGGACAGGAGGGATGAGTTGCCCTGCAACTCAGTGAGTTCCTAGGTAAGTCAATCTGACAGAAACCAGGTGCTATCCTCGGAGAAGGTGTCCTCTGTCCATTATCCTTCATGGGCCCTGGTACTGCTCTCAGGACAGTTCTTCCTGGTGCATTATTCTTTGTAGTTACCTCCGAGTTTGGTTTGGAGAGTATACCTGTCTGAGGACAGTATACCTTTCACAACCCACTTTCTGCTAACATTGATACAGGGACCCTTGGATCACTTTAAAGATTGAATAATCAATGGCTGATGTCAGCTGTCCTCAGTCAGTAAAATAGTTCTCTTCACACTTAGTAAGCTTATAGACTTATTTTCTTTAATACAATGCCATGTGAAAGTAAATGTATTCAAGAACATGTATACATATATTGATCTACACTGTGACCAGCCCTTCCTCTTAACTATTGACCACTTCCTCAAGGCGATTTGAAACTATGGCTTTGGGAGGAAAGACAAGACCTACATCCTGTCTTTCCTGGTAAAATCATTGTCTTTGTATGTGGAGCAGCAATTTTATCTTCTGCTAAAACAACAGTTTTATCATCACCTCAATTCGGGAAACAAGATATTTAGGGTTTTTATTTTTTCCAGTCCTGCAAGTTCCAAATTACAGGACTCTCAATTAACCATGTATAACAACTGCAGATAGAGAATACCTTCCTTAAAAAATTAGTACTTCTCCCATTTCTGCTTGCAGTCTTACCTACCTGTAGTCTGAATTCATCTCCCTCTTATCTCTCTTTCTTAGTGCTAAAAGTGGTAAGGAGGATACAGATCATGCCAACATTCTGAATTATTTTAGGTTTTTTTGTACTTTCCCCAATATATTTTCCAATTTTTTTTAGCTTTAGTGAGCACTAGGTTTTCTTTTCAAAATGACTTTTGTCCAAATATTTTACCATGGATAACAAAACTCACTAGCTTTTTAGCCTACAATATCTGAGTCATTAGTGTATTCTGCCCACCAACCCCATTCAATGACACCCATATTTTAGGTTCATTCCTAGAATACCTCAGTCATGGTAACACATTCCGAATTATTCAGAATTCTACTCAGCTGCATATAACAGAAATCCTAAATAACATAAGTTTGCAGCTTAAGATGGGCCCTTTACTTTACAGAACTGCATTTTTGTTTGCTATTTGCCATGTGCACCCTTTGCTTTCTTTTGTTATATTTCTATAGCTTTTGGAAGTTCTACTTATTGGGGGCCTAGGTTTTACCTTTTTACTTGTTTGGTTAGTGATAAATTTGCAACATTGTTTCTTGATTTACTTGATTTTTTTTTTATTTCAGGATATTATGGGGGTACAAACATTTCGGTTACATGTTATGACTTTGCCTCACCCAAGCCAGGATTAGAGGTGTACCCTTCCCCCATACAATGCTCACTGCATCCATTACTTGTGAGTTTATCCACCTCTACCCCCTCAACCCCCAGTGAATATTACTACCATGTGAGCCCCTTAGTGTTGATCAGTTAGTGCCATTTGATGGCGAGTACATGTGGTGCTTATTCTTCCATTCTTGTGATACATCTCTTTGGAGGACGGGCTCAAGCTCTATCCAGGAAAATATAAGAGGTGCTAGATCACCATTGTTTTTGTAATTGAGCAGTATTTCATTGTATACATATACAATGAGATATCACCTAACCCCAGTGAGAATGGGCTTTATCAAAAAATCCCCAAACAACAAATGCTGGCAAGGATGTGGAGAGATAGGAACACTCTTACGCTGCTAGTGGGACAACAAATTAGAGCAACCTCGGTGGAAAAGGATTTGCTTGATATTTTCACAACATTTCCAAAAGAAAAAAATGATGGACACACTGTCTCTGTGACTGTCAAATTCAAGCTACAAATTCCATAATCTCTTTGAATTCTTAGACTTTTAAATAGCCTAAGACTAAATAGCTGAAAAGGACCAGAAGAATTCAGTGAAGCAGGAAAATTAGAAAGATAAGGCAACAATTTATCTCTGATGTGTGGTTTAGACAAACCAGCCAGAAAGAGGTCTAGGAAATTTTGGTTACAAAATTACTTTGAATCCCAGACATTTTGTTGTGATGTCTATATATGTGCTGTAGAGGACATCTGACCTCAAGAACAGTTCATTTGAGTTGTGCTGTATTTTTGCTGAGGTTTGAGAAATAATTCTGGGATTATAATGATCTATACTTCTTCAGAGTCTGGAAAGCACTAAATAATGAAAATGTATTAGTGCTTCTTCAAATAATATTGTGTATTTTATCTACTACTAAACAAAAGAAAGTAATTTTAATTAAATATTTCTTACACTTGTTATGTATTCATTTTTCTAGAGAAAGAAATAAATACAGATTCAGTTACTTAGGCTTGGGGAAAGCTTAATTTATTGATCACTGGAACTGAATCCACAAAAATTCACTTACTGGCTTTATGTAAATATGCATCATAGATTTAGCAGGAATAAAAATCCCTTAAAGAGCTAAATTTACAATGTTCTAACAATGTATAAGACATATATGATATAAGGAAACCAACCCATGGTAAAGATTAAGATGTTACCAGGAGATTCTTCATGAAATAAAGACTGAGAGTGGAGTCTCCAAGTCACTTTCTGGGTGGAAAATATCCTCCTTTGTCCTGAATCAAACATTTTAGGACAAAGGAAATGAGAGAATGTTTATAGAAGGAACTTGTTTTCAAGTGCTTAACAAGTTTTTCCCATGGAAGAGAAAATATTTGGGGTTTTTTTGTTGTTGTTGTTATTTTTCACTGCTTGTGTTTTGCTTTATTTTGTTCAAGACAGATACAGATGAAAGCATGAGAAGTTACAAGAAAGCTGAACTTGGCTTGATAAAAGAAACTGCCTTTATTTAAAGATTTAGGGCTATCCAAAAGTGGAATGGAATCATATGGGTACTAGTTAATGATATCTTAGAGGAATTTCATGCTTTAATAATGAATCAGCAAGAAGAAATTAAGGACCATCCCACTCAAGTCATTAATTATTTATGGTGTAGAGGCTTTGTTTGCTTTAAACTCTGAGCTATGTTTAGAAAGTGATATGTTCTTCATCTCAAATTTGGATAGGGATTTGCTTTGTACAGATTTAATGGATAACTGGTAAAATTTTGACATATTAAGATATTCTACATTGCTAATACAGAATATAGTCATATCCAGAACATTTTTTAAGACATTTTAGTATAAGGTGAAAGATTAATAAGATCCAAAGAGAAACCAGAGTGTGCAAATTGGCAGGGACTGACAATTTATCTGTATCGTGGTGATAGAAACATCAAGGTATTGAAAAAATTGTTGCTATTGGACAGCAGGCATCTATAAAGCCCTTTAGAAGGTCCAATTTCAAATGCATTTTCTTCCTTTAAAAACTGAGTTAAAAGAGCTCATATCTCCCAAATAATTTGAATTGTTTCTGAGTATGTCAAAAGAAACTCACGCTTATCTTGATGATTGTGGTTTACAACTTGACAAAGAGAATCTTCATAGTATGAGTTCAGTAATTTCTGGTGTGTCTTTTCTTTTACACTTTGAAGTCCAGTTATACTATGTTATTTATAATTCCTCAATTACACCATGCTATTTCATGACTATATTCTTTAAACACTGTTTCACACATTGCTTTTTGGCAAACTCATCATCTTTTTACAAAACCCAGTTTAGATTTACAGTGCTCTCTCCTCCATAGGCCCAGACAGAGTGGATAACTCCTTTATTTGTTAGTTTTGTATCTAACACATGTTTGAAGAGGGGGGCTCATCATTATTTGAATACATATATCTTGCATAAACTGTGTGTTCTTGGAGAAGGCAATTAATGAGAAAGTGAGCAGCCTTGAAAAGAAGTAGTAGCCTTTTCCCAGGTACATAGGTATGGAAACACTTTATAAGCAGAGAGAAAAGTTTCTGCAGAGACACAGAAGCATGAAAAAGCATGGGATGCCCAACATCTTTAGGCTGGAGCATCAGGTATGATTGATAGAGAAACAGGTATAAATGCTTTTAAGGTAACAGCAGAGAGTATTTTAACATATGCTAAGGAATTAGTGTTTATCACCTGTCCTTAATTTTAATGACTGGGGATTGATATTGGGGAATCTACTAAAGCTCTTTGTGCTACAGTTTCCTCAAAAGAAAAGTGGAGGTAATTATAGCACCTGCATCCCAGGAATTACAAAGCAAGTTATAAATAAAAGTTAGCTAATATGAGTACGATTATGAATATTGGTATTACCTATCTTCACTGACAGACTCAACACTGTGACAGACTTTTTAACCTATCCAACCTCAAATTTTATTCAATTTTGAACACCTTCCCCACTCCTCACCCTTTTCCTCACCCTCGTCATTAAGGAAAATCTGGGAATCATGTTATCTCTCACTGAAATGTTATTTATTTTTCAGCCCACAGGGAACCCAGACTGGTTGGAGGGGACATTCCCTGCTCTGGACGTGTTGAAGTGAAACATGGTGACACATGGGGCTCCGTCTGTGATTCTGACTTCTCTCTGGAAGCTGCCAGTGTGCTATGCAGGGAATTACAGTGTGGCACAGTCGTCTCTATCCTGGGTGGAGCTCATTTTGGAGAAGGAAATGGACAGATCTGGGCTGAAGAATTCCAGTGCGAGGGGCATGAGTCCCATCTTTCACTCTGCCCAGTAGCAACCCGCCTAGATGGAACTTGCAGCCACAGTAGGAATGTTGGAGTAGTCTGTTCAAGTGAGACCTGGAGAACATCTTCAATTCATTCCCACACAGTGAAAGGGGTAGAGTTCGGTAGTCATAGCTGTCTTTTCTAAAGCCCTGTCTCCTTCCAGGATACACAGAAATCCGCTTGGTGAATGGCAAGTCCCCATGCGAGGGAAGAGTGGAGCTCAAGACACTTGGAGCCTGGGGATCCCTCTGCAGCTCTCACTGGGACATGGAAGATGCCCACGTTCTTTGCCAGCAACTTAAATGTGGAGTTGCCCTTTCTACCCCAGGAGGAGCACATTTTGGGAAAGGAAATGGTCAGGTCTGGAGGCACATGTTTCACTGCACTGGGACTGAGCAGCACATGGGAGATTGCCCTGTAACTGCTCTGGGTGCATCGCTATGTTCTGCAGGGCAGGTGGCCTCTGTGATCTGCTCAGGTAAGAGGATGAAGGGCAGCCAATGATAAGCCTCTCCCATGCTGGTGTGCCTTAAGAGCAGGTGTACCTATAGGAATGAAGAACAAAAGTGAAAGGGAATGATCCCTTTTGAAGGATCATAAGAAGCATGTCAGAATTTTACCTGATTTGTCTTTTCAGATGGCAAGTAAACTTAGTTTTCAGGGACCTCATAGTTATCTAGTGCTTCCTATGTGCCAAGCCCTTCTCAAAACACCTGATTTATTCCCAGCCTTGTTGACCCATCCACAATCCTCTCTCTGTTATATGGATAGGTTGTTTGTCCTCAACTCATCCACATAACACTCCATCTGCCCACCATCTGGGGGATGGACACGCTTGAAGCTCTGACTGCCCTTCTTCACCCTAATCTTTTGTATGTTTATGACTGAGCAGTTTGGTGTTTGCAGGAAACCAGTCCCAGACACTATCCCCATGCAATTCATCATCTTCAGACCCAACAAGCCCTACCATTCCAGAAGAAAGTGCAGTTCCCTGCATAGGTGAGAATCTGTGACCAATCTATGAAAATGATCTCAATGGTTAGGAATGCAAGTTATTAATATTTTCATTTTTCTTTTCAGGGAGTGGTCAACTTCGCCTGGTAAATGGAGAAGGTCGCTGTGCTGGGAGAGTGGAGATCTATCACGAAGGCTCCTGGGGCACCATCTGTGATGACAGCTGGGACCTGAGAGATGCCCATGTGGTGTGTGGACAGCTGGGCTGTGGAGTCGCCGTTAATGCCACTGGTTCTGCTTATTTTGGGGAAGGAACAGGGCCCATCTGGCTAGATGAGATGAAGTGCAATGGAAAAGAATCCCATATTTGGCAGTGCCATTCACATGGCTGGGGGCAGCACAACTGTAGGCACAAGGAGGATGCAGGAGTTATCTGCTCAGGTAAGTTCTGTATATAACCTCTGGTCACAATTATGTAAAAAAGGACTGAGGTGAGGCAAAGTGTAGGGTGAGGGATATTAATCTGAAAGATTTCCCTGAAAAGCAGGTTCAAAAGGAACTATTGCAAGAGTCAGGATCCCAGAAGCATGGGTTCGATGAGTTAGTGCTACTTCATGAGCAACATCGTATAACATTATAAAAAGTCCAGAAATGTGCTTGCATATCATCGAAATGACAACAAACTTAATAATGAAGTTTTTTATAAATATTATTTGGAGCTGGACATTGGGTAAGGATTCAATGGCACCACTTGATAACTACCGTGTTAATAAAGAAGTAGAGTAAAAGGGACAAGAAGATATATATATATATATATGGTACATAATTTTACAGATAAAAATATAATTACCATGCCCAAGTAATTGTTAATGATAGATAAATGAGACTTACTTGTCACAGGAGCAAAAATTACCATAAGAGGCTACTGCTCTTGCTTTTATACACAGTAAGCTTTAGAAAATATTGTGAAATAGAAAAAATGTACTCTGTTGCAATATATTGGGGAAAACAGTACTATAACTCAGTAACTTAGGGAAGTAAAAAATTCCATGTGACAGAAACAATTTATTCTTATTTAATGACATAAATCTGATATAAGACATGCACAGCAAAACCATGAAGTGTCAGAAAAAGAACTATGTCATTTTAAAAGAATGTACTCAAAACATTGGTTTTAGTGCCTGAGTGTCTCACTGAATTTTAACTATCAAGGACAGTTAAAAACACAACAGAATATTTTTGGGAGACAATCTAAACTCTATAAATGAAAAAAGGCTCTGAGCCTTTGATTGAGATCTGAAAAGTGTCTTAGAATCAGGAATCAGGGTTCCTGACTACAAAACTCAATACTAGGAAACCATAAGTTATTTATAGAATAAATACTGTATTTTACTAAAATCTACTAAACCATCCAGAAGTTACTAAAGAATTACTAGTAATTAACATATTATTCCTATTTTCAAAGCCATTCTGAGATCAGAGTTTTGGGAGAGAATCTTCTAAATCTTCAGAAAAGATGTGAAATTACTAATTCTGTATTTTACTGCAGAGTTCATGTCTCTAAGACTGACCAGTGAAACCAGCAAAGAGACTTGTGCAGGACGTCTGGAGGTTTTCTACAATGGAGCTTGGGGAAGTGTTGGCAAGAGTAACATGTCTGAAACCACTGTGGCGGTGGTATGCAGGCAGCTGGGCTGTGCAGACAAAGGGAAGATGAACCCTGCATCTTCAGACATGGCAATGTCAAGGCCCATGTGGGTGGACAATGTTCAGTGTCCAAAAGGACCTGACACGTTGTGGCAGTGTCCATCATCTCCGTGGAAGCAGAGACTGGCCAGCCCCTCAGAGGAGACCTGGATCACATGTGACAGTGAGTATTCATTGGTCCATATGAAAATTCCATTCTGCAGCTCCACTATCATCTTCTGAGAAAGCACGTTGGTTTTATTTACCTAATCCTTGCACCAGTTTAAATTGTTAGATTTAATTAAGCAAGAATGGGTAACCCCTGGGTAATATCTGTTCTACCTGAATGTTGTAACTGGTTTTATTTAATTTGGCTTGTATATATTCAGGATCAGTGATCATTATTCCAAAGAATACCATACTGTCCATGGTCTGCTTGAAAAATTTATTCATGTGCTTTCTCTGTGAACAAATGAGGAGTAGAAAATATGCGATTCAGTATTTGACTATTGAATGAATGGTCTACCTTGCCTTTCCCATTTTTCTTTCAAATATTATCTTTTTACACTAATATAAGGAGAAAAGCAGTCAGAAAGATCAATCCTGAATTATTGCCCCATTCTACATCTCTTCTTAAACTGTAAAAAGATTTCTATCTACCTGGAAATTTCCCAGGCTTCTTTCCATTTGAAAGAACTTAACACTACACATTTACAGTGTTAACTTTATTCCTTCGACATTTCCTGAGTCATGCTATGATCTTTATGTCCAGGATGAAATATACCTAGCTTGCTAAAATCGCATATACTCTTATCAAAGATAAATTTTGTAAAGATATAAATTTAAAAATGCACATTAAAGTTTTAAAATAGATCTTTTAAAAACAGTTTCAAATCTCTCTTTCCCCCTGTGAGCCCTTAGAAGCTTTTATCTTCTTAGAAATAACCTTCTTGTCTCTGATTTTTCAGACAAGATAAGACTTCAAAACGGAACAACTAGTTGTTCTGGACGTGTGGAGATCTGGCATGGAGGTTCCTGGGGGACAGTGTGTGATGACTCTTGGGACTTGGATGATGCTCAGGTGGTGTGTCGACAGGTGGGCTGTGGCTCAGCTTTGAAAGCACTAAAAGAGGCAGAAGAGTTTGGTCAGGGCACTGGACCCGTATGGCTCAATGAAGTGAATTGCAAAGGGAATGAATCTTCCTTGTGGGATTGTCCTGCCAGACGCTGGGGGCACAGTGAATGTGGGCACAAGGAAGATGCTGCTGTGAATTGCTCAGGTGAGTGCCAGAAGACTGGATTGAGCTTGGAATCTCTGGCTGCAAAGAGGAGGTGGGCAGTGAAGTGGATTGTATAAAGGCTGGACTTACCCACATAGGGATCTGGTGGGGAGAGAATCATGATGTTTCTGCTGAAGGACCGAAGAAAGCCTTTGTTGTTATACATTGGCCTTTGCCAAGGAAAAGCATATAATCTATATGTATCCCTCCACAGAGGGGAAAAGAGGGTGGGGGACTCTAGGTTGAGGTGGGAAAGAGTAGTTTATTTGGTTGAGAGGCACTAAGGGCTCAGACAAGGAAATAGAAATATTTTTTCTATATATTACTCCCCTAATTAATCCTCTCTCTCTTTTTTCCTACAGAAATTTCAGTGCCTAGAAAATCATTCAAGCCTGCAGGTATGTCACAGGGTTAATAAGCCTGGGACCGGTTGTCTGCATTACTCAGAGTCCTCCTTGTTTAGAGGCCTTGGGTCAAAAGAAGTTCTGAGTATTCGAGATTGACTTTAGGGACTCTGTATCTGGCCTAAAAGAGAGTCAGTAACTAGGGTCCTGGCCTTTTAGCTAAGACATTATCATCTCTCTTCATATTTACTTTTACTTAGGTCACTCTTCTCTTATTGTAATCGGGATCCTTGGGGTTATACTGTTGGTCCTTCTCACCGCATTCTCCTTATGGATTCGGAGGCGAAAACAGAGACAGCGGCTTACAGGTCTGAGCTAAATTATGGTCCCTCTAATGTGTCTACAGGATAAGGGGGTTCTTGGGATAAAAAAACATTAGACTCAAGTATCAAATGGCTAGAAAGACAGAGTCTAGAAGAGGTTTGAGCAGTTTCTCACAATAGAGGGAATAAGATTTCAGAGAAAAGAGGCTTTGGCTGCATTGAAGATTCCTATGCTCTATCCACATGCTTATCAATTATAGAGTTGATAGTTAGGAATATGCTATACATGGTTTAGGATATTTTTTTGCCCAAACATGTATTTGTTCTTACTATAATATTCTTATTATAAATTTTACCATACCGTCAAACAATGTACTAGGCTCTGAAGATATAGACATGGACAATCAAGTTTTTATCTTAGAGGAACTTCAAGTTTAGTGAAAGAGATATATATGCAAACAAATAAACTGCAATGTAGCATTATACATTAATATGAATAAGGAATAAAAGTGGCACAGAGAAGAGAGTTATTAACTGAAAGAGGAAGGGAAGTATTGGAGCTTCTTGGAAGCTTTTGAGACAAACTTTGAACATAGGGGCTCAAAGAACTGGGTGAGGCATACTCTAGAGAAGAACATGTGTGAGTGTAGAGAAGCTTAAAGGGTAGCACATCTGTTGTTTTGGGGGCAAAGTAAACATTGAGCGCCAGGAGAGAAGCTGCTGATAAGTCCGAAGAAAATGGAAGGAACGAATTATGAAGTTCTTATATTCCATGGTAATAAGATTCATAGTCATTAAAGAGTATTATGTAGGGGACTGAAATGGTCAAGCTGTCCTTTAGAAATATCTTTTGGCAACGGGTGTTTGAAGTATTGAAGGAGGACCATATTACTGACAGGAATCACATTTTTAAATAGTTGAGATGAAAGATAAAAAGGACTGTAACTATAGTGAGAATGGAGGGGAGAGGAAAGATTTTTAGAGAGATTTTAGAAAATCTTCTGATGAGTTATGCAAGAGTGCTAGCTTCCTTGGGGGAAGAGAGCCGAGTCGTTATACGGTGGCAATAGGGAAGGTTTAGCCTTGCTCCTATTCCGTCTCAGTGTGTGGCATTGAAAGGGAAAATCCTGGTAGTAGAATGGGATGGAAACAATAGAATGGGTAAAGATTAGGTATGTTTGATGTTTGTGCTGCTGGGAAAAAAGCACACATAAAGAAGGAAAAGTTTTGTCATGGTCTACTGATCCCTAACTTAGGATCTCTGTTGTCAGTTTCCTCAAGAGGAGACAATTGTGTTCACCAAATTCAATACCGGGAGATGAATTCTTGCCTGAACGCAGATGATCTGGACCCGCTGAATTCCTCAGGTCTGTGGGTTCTTTGAGGGTTTATAGCCTGGAGATTCAGACCAGTGACTATAATTAAGGCTTAGACATTGGTTAACAGTGAAAAAAGATCTAAAACATGTAATAGGAAGCGTATGGCACATGTAAGGGGAAAAATGGCAGAATCAGCTGAAAATTATTCTTTGAGACGTAAAAATTGCAGTCATAGGGAGGCCCATGATTATTTCTGACAGAGGTATACAAAGAACCATGGACCAGAATAGTATGATTTTGACCCCATTTTATTAAAACAGAAATTAATCTTATAAAAGATTGCCATAAGTAGCAGTTTAACTTTTCTTTTTTCTTTAAATAAGTTTTTGTGTATGTTGAAGAAATACAACATGATGTCATAGAATACAACTAAAGTGGAGCAAACTAACATATCTGTCATGTCACATAGTTACCCATTTTTTTTTTGTTTTTGTGGCAAGAGGAGCTAAAATCAACTCACAGCATGAACCCCTTATATACAATACAATTTTATAATCTCTAGTCCTTATGTTGTACATTATATCTCTAGATTTGTTCATCCTACGTATTTGCTAATTTGTATCTTCTGACCAAAATCTCTTTCACAGTTTTTTCCATTGCCACTTTCCTTTCTTGAGCTTGATATTTATTATATTTTTTCTGAAAGTCTAAAAGCTTAAACTTTTCATATCTTCATCCCAGGAGAAGCCATCACTATCCATAGGACTAACCGTATTTCTCATCTTTCTTTGTTCTTGAACTTCTACTTAGCACCAACGCACCAATCCTGCCTCCAGGCAGCTTAACTCTACTGGGTTGGATGAAATAGCCTAAGACCCATTGTCCTTACTCCGTAAAGACTCCTTTACTTTTTGAAAAGGGCCTGCCTCACCTCTTCCATGCAAAGGTTTGGAATTTGCTACTGTGTCAGGAAACATGTTTCAGACATAGGAAACATCTACTACTAATATGTCAGGAAATATGTAAGGGATAGGAAAGACTTTTTGTGCCCCTTAAATCACACATGGTTGCCTTCCTAATTGCAATGGTGGAGAGGGATTTTCAAAGCTCAAAGAGTTTCACAGGTACTTGAGGGGAGGTCTGATTTATTTCCCAGTGATTATTTTCTTCCTTTCAGAAAATTCCAGTTAGTGAGGTGATTTTAATGCAACTGGACTAATTTCTTTGTCTAAATCTCTTCCTATTTCTGGAATGAAAAAGGGGGCCATTCTGAGGCACACTGAAAAAGAAAATGGGAATTTATAACATGGTGAGGTGAGTTCAAAATAAGTACATTCCTTTTGAAGACCGAAAGCTCCTCTGGCATTAGAAAAAATGTATCTACACATATTTTTAATATGTTTATATGCATATTTTTCTAG